CACACACACAAATATAATAATTCCATGTGTGTCTCGGTGTCTATTTCACAGTATATATAGTTTCAACGTTTCGTATTTTCACTTTGGCCCGGCATGGCCAGGTTAGGGTTCTCGACTCGCAATCTGCGGGTCGCGAGTTCGAATCCTCATCACACCAAACATGCTCGCTCTTTCAGCCGTGAGGGGGTTATAATGTGACGGTCAATCCCACTATTCGTTGGTAAAAGAGTAGCCCAAGAATTGGCGGTGGGTGGTGATGAATAGCTGCCTTCCCTCTAATCTTACACTGCTAAATTAGGGACGGCTAGCGTAAATCGCCCTCGTGTAGCTTTGCGCGAAATCCACAAGAAACAGTATTTTCGACTTTTTCATTTCTATATATAGAACTACTAGCTCGTTCAACGCACTGAGAAAACACAGGGTCAAGAAGGGAGGGGGGCAGATCCAAACGCAAACCTCTTATGTCTGTCCTCTTGGGATCATAAGGGTACATTCCATGTATGATGACAATCGGTTCGCAAGTTACAGTACTGTGCAAAAGTGTTAGGATAAAGTCAAAAATTAGATTTCAGACTACTTAAAAAAACAATGGAAGGTAAATCACAGGTTAAACATCAAAATTTCATTAATATTCATATTTAGTACAACAGAAACTCAGTGGAAGTGCTCGAATTCAGTAAACAGTTAATATTTTGTGTGCCCCCCTTTTGCTTTAATAACTGCAGACTGTCTTTCAGGCATTGTTGCAACATATTTAATCAAAGTATTTTTTGGGATCTTACTCCAAATGTATCTAATAACCCCAATAAAGTTTCTTTGGAAGTAGCTTTTGATTTGTCAAATTTTTGATCTATCAAATCTCAGAACTGCTCAATTGGGTTCAGATCGGGGCTTTGTGGGGGGCATTGCATCATTTGAATGACTCCAGCAGCTTTTTTCTTAGCAAAGTAATTTCTGCATAGGTTGGATGAGTGTTTGGGGTCATTATCTTCTTGGTAGTAGAATTATTTACCAATAATACGCAACCCACTGGGTATACCATGACGGACCAGTATCTGATGATACTTGCGCTGGTCCATTATTCCATCCATTTTGCAAATATCTCCTGTCGCCTCAGCAGAAAAACACCCCAAAACCATAACACCGCCTCTCCCATGCTATGAATTGAGGTAAGTATATTTCTTCCACCGGACGTACAACCTACGCTTTGAACCAAATATTTCAAACTAAGATTCATCCGTCCATAACACCCTTTTCCAATAATCAACAGTCCAGTTTTGTACTTTTTAGCAAATTTCAGTCTCTTGAAAATATTTGGAGATCGAAGTAAAGGTTTGTTAACTGCTACACAACCAAATATTCCATTCTCTTTGAGTATTCTTGATACTGTAGATCTGGACACTTTGTCATTTGGTACATGGTCGTTTATCTCATGCTTGAGATCAGTGGCAGTCTTTCTTCTGTCCCGAAGGTTGCATAAACGAAGATACTTAACATCAGTATCATTGAGTTTAGGTGTTCTGCTTCTTCCTTTCCTATTTTCAAATTTACCTGTCTCAGTTACACGATCTATGGTGTACTTGACAGTGTTTGGGGAGCATTCAATTCTGCAGCAATTTGTCGGAGAGTCAAACCAGCAACACGTAAAGTTTTTATGTGAACTCTCTGTTCTACTGACAATTTTCCACGCTTTTTGGGCCATGGCATGATAACAAAACTTAATATATAGTGTTAAATACTGCTTTTATCAAGGTTTACTTCTGGATTGCTATTAAATTGATTTTTTCTAGCATATACCGGTACCTTGCTAGCTTCTTTCTATATAGTTAAGACACTGCATGGGGTATCATGACAGTTATTTCAGACCCTAAATTTGATAAGTATGTTCATTCAAGCAGAACCATTATGATAAGTCCTTGGTACAAGTATATGGGAGTTCTAACGAATGATAAGTATTCTCACCCTGGCTCGTTCAATTGTCAATAGGGATCAGTGAAGCATTACTATAGTGTTGAAATTTACATTATTTAATGGCATGAAAGAATTAGCTCCATAAAATGTAAAGAAAGGACAAGAGAATATTTTGTCAAACACTTTTGCACAGTACTGTATAAGCAGACACAAACATACACATAGATTTCAGTCAAATAACGGTTTATATTTAGTAAAACATGATAAATTCGCTCCATTATACACTTAAGATTATCAATAAAAGTACCTTTAGAACAATGTGAACTCATGTGTAAAGTTCACTTTTATGTAAGTGAAACATGTTTTGTATATATCTCTCAATAATATCACATCGTGTAAATTTATGTTGCCTAAATATTATATTTATATTACATACAAAATATAATATTAAATATAAAATATATTTATACTACTTATAGATATAAACATAAAAACAGAATGAGACGGTACAGAGATGACCCTATTTCTCCCTCTGACCCGTTTCCTAACACAATTCAAGTCCCCCAGTGGCATGGCACAAGTCTGAAGAATCATAATGCTAAAACAGGGTTTCGATACCCGTGGTGGACATAGCACAGGTAGGCCATTGTATAGCTATGTGCTTAAGTACAAACGAAGACAACAACCTAGCACAGTTCAAATGAATGTTCCAATATGTATTTATACGCATGCCCTGGTTGTTTCATTGCATGCTTCTTAAAATAGTTAATGTACTTATGTCGTAATTTCCCAGGCGAAAATGTTTCTGTACATACAATTAACTTATCTGTATAGAGATTTCGTCCTAAGTCTCATTTGCCAACATTTTTCACAAAATGTTTTAATATGTTGTTTAGCCTATTATAACGACATATACGATAGTAAAACTGACAAGATCGTCAAACATGCGTGGGCTGCGTAATTTAATGCTTTTGGTAAATCTTCCTTAATTAAATCAGGTTTTTTCCTTTCTTGAAAACCGTATCTTTAATAGAATGAAGAAAAACGGTATCATGTTTATGTTTTCTTTACAAGCTTCACCGTGTAATAATTAAAGAGAATTGACAACGTGAGAATTTACGAAACACAAGCCAACCACTGTAACTTGGTCATGTAGGACACAAAATGTTCCACATATAAAATTTGTTTTAGATTACAAAGTTCTAAACAATGGTGTTTTTTTTTGTTGTTGTTGTTGTTTTTTTTTTTGCTGTAAGTCATGGTTTCAAATGGTACAACTTATGTAAACGTGTTATGTTGTGATTATCGGAGCATCAAAGTGTACTGGAACATGCATCTCTTGACTTACTTGCTTAACAAATATACAGTTCAAGGCTCACATACGACATTGATTTTACATAAATAAATAAATAAATACGCACATCACGGTTCAACGCCGAATTCGGCCTTTATAGTGTTATTTTGTCTTTATTTTTGCAACATATCAATTAAATTTGTACGGATTGATAGTTGAAGCATATCTTTCTCATAGTTTTTATTTTAAAGATTTATTCAGAAAGCAGGTAAGTTATTAAGATTAATGTTGTTGTTTTTTCACGATAAATTTCGTATAATTGATTATTCGAGATTTTGAAAACCTGATTCCGCATAATGTTTATTCCAAACCTTGGCTGGGGAATTTTTTTCTTTGCCTGTGATATAATTGTCATAATCCTTGTTTAATGTCAGTATGAGCGTAACAGTAAATGTAAATCCAATACTTTATAAACCTAACCTTGAAATGTGTAAATTAAAAACACTAATCAGTTTTAAATAAAGATGAGAATTTCACCAACTAGATAGTGTATATTGTTGCTTTTATGTGGAAATATTAAACGAAGTATCTCAAACAAGCTGTTTAGTGTCGCTAGGTGTAATGCTTAGATAATAAATGCCCCCCCCCCCAGTGGCATAGCGGTTTGTCTGCGGACTTATAGTGCTAGAAACCGGGTTTCGATACTCGTGGTGGGCAGGGAACAGATAGCCCATTGTGTAGCTTTGTGCTTAACTACACGGGTATTGAAACCCGGTTTCCATTGTTGTAAGTTCGCAGACGTACCGCTGTGTCATTGGGGGGGGGGCTAATACAATTTGTTAAACGTACGACTAGAAATACTCTCAGCATTGAGCCTTTCTTAGTCAAATATTGATGACATTTAATTAAAACTAATTAGCGAACAAGTTGACAATTAATGACTTGTTTAGCTAAGGTTCAAACACCTAAAATTTTATAACGACATCGTCTCAATGATATATTATGTTGTATTTTAAGTCCTTGTTTAAAGAGCGTCATTAAGTCATTTTGACATATATTCAATATTGGTCAACAGAATGTGACAAAATGTTCTAGTTTTTTAATGTTAGTACTCCAAAATATCGAAATCATTATATCACCATTACAACAATGATATCTTTAACTTATCAGCTGAAACATGTTGTCGTACTTGTTAGAACTTCATAAATCAACATCTTACCATTACGTTATTTTATACGATAATGATAAAATTAAATCTTATTGCAACGTGAAGTCCAGTATACTTCAACGTGAAAGCATAAACATGTTATTTGACGAAATTATAGAACACATTGATGCTATATTATTAGTTTTTCAAAGCTTACAAGTTCAGAAAAGTGTGAAAGAAAATTAAAATGCTTCTTGTTTAATGACTCCGAGATATACATTAAATTAAAAACTGTTATACACATACGAATCGTTGTCTAACTTTTAAAGCACAGTTTGTGATATTTTGTTACTTTTAGGTTGATTTTCGTACCAAATATCAGTTCCTGCACACAGTAACACGCTAATGTAAACATAGTGGTTTTAATAAAGTACCAAAAATGAAAATAGAATGAAATGTATTTAACCCTACTGGTCCAATAAACTGGTTTTCATTCTCTTTAAATGTTTATAAGATGATAGTATCGAATCTAGATAGAATATACTTGCAGTAAGCACTTCCCTTATGTTTATAGTCTAAAAAGTAACTTGACTATATATACGCGCAACTTAAGAAACTTACCTTTTACTTTGCTAGAAAACGTAAATGGACGACACAAACATCCAAGACGTTTTATCTTTCGGTTCTTTAGATGGCCTTGACAAGTGCCGTTAACTTGGTTACACGTCACGACATTAGCTATTCTTATAGTTTTAATTTACAAATGATGAACTACGAAAAACTTCATCTTATCAACGTTTGTCACGCATTTGTTGTTTTCGTGGATACAGAATTGAAATTGCCTTCTGTTGATGATCACACACGATCTGTATCTAGATACAGTACTTTCTGCAATATTACACAATAAGGTCCATCATTAAACAACAAGTCCACAGAACAAAACATTAACAAATCAAAATAAATACACAAAGATCGATTTAAATCAGTCAGTTTCAAAATCATAAAAACATTCTAGATTGCTTTTGAAAAAAATATGAAAAACAAAACTGGGCTTGAGTAAATCTTTTGGTGCTATGCAAATTTGATGCTATGATTATTTATTTACATGTAAGTAGCTCATAAACACTTATCCGAACTTGTACTTACTTTCCACTAATTAAACGAAATCCAATAAACGTGTAACAGGTGCTCATATGTGAAATGAGGCTAAAGTACATCTGACTATTCTGGATTAAAGATATGGTATTTAAAATGCATAGCATCGTTATTAGAAACTTGGACAGCGATAAAACACGACAGGGTTGAAAACTGGAAGAAATGGGACAGAAAGGAGGTCTGTTGGAGGTAGAAAACTGGATTGTTCCACTTCAGTTGTAAATCAGCGAACTGTACACGATGAAGTTAAATACAATTACAGAAGTAGCTCGCACTAGTAATACAAAGTTTTACCGCTACACTCATTTGATACAAGGTTATGATCACTACTAATACAAGAAGATTGTTGAAAGCAAACTGGAAATAAGAAACACTGAACAGTAAAGTAGTCGAACTGGTGTGAATATACATATATTTACAATGACTGAGCATATTTACATTTAAACACAATAACGTAAGTAATTTGAAAACCAAATTTATTTAGATCAGGGCGGTTTTGTGTGTGTATATGGAGATGATATTAGTCAGCTCATAAACATAAAAAAATATGTTAATACAAACGTTTTGAATGGAAAAAAGACAAGAGAAGGTAAGACCCAAAACAACCTCTCTACTGATCATAAAATGTAGTTTTTTATTATATTGTATTATGCAACTTTTATAACACTGAACAAGCTAAGCCTTTCAATTATTTTTTGAGAGATTTGATTGATTCACATAAACGAAATAAAAATTTCTTGGAAACTTTTAAATACATCTCTAGTAACCTCAGAAAGGTGCTGTAAAGACTGAATGAGAAGAGAATTAAAGTTAGAGTCATATAAAGAATCATTAACCCTTGAATTACAACCATCAAATACACCTTGGTCAAAACAGGGCCACTTCATCCACTTCGAAAGTTACTACAGCAACCACCAAATTTGTGTCGTGATAAAACCACCATCTCAAGGATTAATATGACCAGCAGTTAGCATACTTAGAGAGACAAGTAATATGTCTCTCTAAAGTAATCCTTTCAACGTGAACACGCGAGAAATATCTAGAATAAGTTCATTGTGACATTAGTGAGTTATTTTATTACCCTGTCATCAGCTATAATTTAATGCCACCTTCAAAGTCGCCACTGGAAGCGCCAGGAAAAGCATATCCACTTCTAGAGCCACCAGGATTAATACCACGTTTATTTCATGCAGCAACAGTTAATACACTTGCAAAATTTAACACTCATTAAAGAAACCTGTAGCCGAACCACTTAAAAAAAATGGCTTATTTATTTTACTGTGCGATAATATTAATACAAGTAAATTTTAAAATGTTTTAATTATTTGTCTCTACCATTATACTAGAAATAGTAACTTTTTGTTTTCATTTTTGCAAAATCTAGAACTATTACAATCATTATGATAAAAGTGTGATAAGATGCACCATCTACTGGTGTGACATAAAAATATTACCTTTAATAGGTATCAACTTTCCTGATAACTAGATTACAGATGACACCTCAAATACAAAGAAATATATTTGTCCGTTCATTAAACTAGATGTATTTCCGCAGGATCCCCGAAAGTATTCTGTTTCAAGAGTAAATAAAACCAAAATTAAGAGTAACAAATATTTTTATTTCTTGCTTTGAACCTTATATGTCATGCTGCGTTGTAACCTACAGAGTGCATAATTCTTTTTGTAAGATGTATTATTTAGATATATAATTCATTCCCAAAAGAAAAAAAAAGCTATATGAAGAGACAACAGTCCAGCATGACTGAGGTTTGCAGAACTTCCTAGGGTTAGTATCAACTGTATTTAGTGAACATTTAGATGATTTTAATTATACTAGAAATATTTTACTATTAGAAAATATCAACTTTAAGGAGTTTTATGAAAGTTGTTGACTGCTTAATATTACTTCAGTAAATAAAATTATATATTTTCAAATTTGTTAAATTTTCACTGAAGACTGTCTTATACAATCACGAATAATACGTCTAATGACGCCTGTTGTGACATCTGGTGAGCATAGTATATGAAAGAAAGAAAAGTGACAGAAATATAGGAAAAGTTTCGTTGATATATATATATCTACTTCTTTCTAAAATAAAATATTTAGTGCTGTAAAAACACACAAATATAATTAATCTTCATTTCAAAGTATTTATTGTCTTGAGAAGCACCACAGTTTTAAGCAGTATAATTTCACACAGCCCAGTAAGTTTCGCAGCATGAGTTGTTTTTAAGTGAAAAAACATTTTGAGTTAATAATTATTTATAACACGAGTTTGTTTTTTCCTGGTGTGAGCTTGTTACGATTTGCTGTATTAAATTGAATTTTTAGACCAAAAGTATTACTTACTGTAAATATAAAACAAAGATTCAAAAATGAAGTTGGGAATGAGAGATAAAAAGAGTCGAAAAGATAAGATGAAAAGCGTATGGCCATATTTATATACGTGTGTGTATTTCTCTGTAAAAAGTTGGAAACAATGCGGTCTTTTTTGTGATTACGATAGTAAGCACTGTTCTTCTTTTTTTTCTTATACAACAGCGTTTTCCTTACGGAAATTCTGTGGCCGATATATTAATTTGAAGATACGGTCGAAATGCTTTTAATAAATTTTGTTAAGCAAATTACTCAAATGATACAGATAAAAATAAGTACAATTTTAATAAAGATTTAATGAGACTTAAAAGTATAAAAATAATTTATATAATATAAACATTCTTTTAAATTAAAAGCATCTTGCATTTCATTTTAAGGAATGACCACCTAGTAACAGTAACGCGTTAGGAGTGTTTGAGATTGCGCATTACAAAATACACAGGAGGTCGAATAGTAATGGCGGCACGTGTTCAAATTTGAAGTTTTTACTACGCAATGAAAGTGCACGCGATTATATGTTTAACCTAGCAGAAAAAAACAAACAATTATTTAACTGATATATCACTGTTGAATGAGGTAATAGATATTCATTATTGATAATATTACTGTAGTAGTGAGGGGAACTAGAGGAAAAGTTTTAACATTTTCACAATTTTACGAAATTATGTAAATTGTAATTATTTTATGTGTTAGGCCTAACTAAAATACGATTATTAGGCTTAGGAATTTAATATAATAAAATTTCATTTAATGATTTATCTTAACCATAACTAAACCTTTCTGTGGTAGAAATAAAATACCGAACTTCATAAATTGATCTAACTGACAATAGGCTAATGTTAAGTGTATTAATAAAAATAAAATGTAAATATGACAAAATAGGTAAGATTAAGAATAAGACTTGACAACCAACTTATCAAGTAGTTGAACTTGAAGTACAAGCACTCTACTGTAGACTGAAGTGTTTAAACTTTGTAATGATTGATTTTAAGTTTGTGTTGTGATACTATTAGTATAAAAACAATGTTAATTGCTAGTAATATTGCAGTTACACTCAGTATTATAAATTGAGTGTGATTGTCTGGTGAAGTGGTGTGCAAATTTTAGGATAATGCCCCCTTTCTAAACATGCATTTTGTTGCACCCTGTATAAGAGTAAGTGAAGTCTTAATATGGTGCAAAGTATGAAGCAAAGAGTTTCAATTTACTTTCCAATTTAATGTGAAGGATGGGCTACAGCTTGGGATAAGATGAAGTCCATTCTTGAATGAATTGTTGATACAACAATTTGGAGAACCCCCTCCAGCTGCAGAAGAGATTACTATTTTGTTTTGATCGTTATCAGAGCATAAAACACTGGCATACATACGTATGTTGATGTGAAAGGCAAAAGTATGCCATTGCATTTCTTCACAGGTCAGGATGTTTTTTGCAAAGTAGAATACAGAAGTTCTCAAGAGGTTTTGGATTAACTTGTACTTGAAGAGTTTTAGCATTGGATAGTTATGAGCTTTTATTGAGTTGCCATTGGCAGTTATGCTGTCATTAAATGTTCTCCCATTGATTCTTGGAATTTATCTGCAAATTGGCAATGAAGTTTTTAAAGATGAATAGAAACAACATCATTAATAGGACTACGAATTAACACATTTTATTTTAAAAGAAATTACTGAGACAAGGAAATATTTCACAATCTCCATTCTCAAAATAGTTTTCTATAGTGCAAGTTTTTTGCAAAATGCTGACGCTTTGTCATTCAGCTGCAAAATATTGTTATTTATCCATCAGATGCACTGCTAGTGTGGGGTTGCAGTCTTAAAAAAATGTTTGTCTTTCAGCTGTAAAATGTAACTGAGTACCTTCCTGCGAGACAATTAGCTCATATCTATATGCAGCAGTAGCTTCCATACGTGGATCCCATTTCTCCACAAAGAATGTAAAACAGCCTTCTGTTCAAAGAATTTGATTTCACAAAGTTCACAACACTTGTAGCACTTTGTTTATTTTGGGCTGCAATTTCTTTGAAGCTAGTGCTTTCCTGTGTATGAATATGTAAATGTTGTACCTGGAGCAAGAGTACTTTCTTTTGAACTCTTTTTTTTGTTTCTCATAAATTCAACTGCTCCATCAGTGTATACCCTAACACAATTAACTCTTTCAATATGGGGTTGGTCAATGTGACCATAAATTTTTTACCTCCAAAATAATATTTCATACATAAACTCATATAGTTAATACTGACAAAAAAATTACTATTTTACTGTAAAATAATCACCTCATTAAAAACACGTTTAAGATTTTGCTAAAATTTTATTAACAAATACTGGTAGAAATGCTCAAAGAATTGATAGGTTTAACCCCTAAGAATCAATTTAGCTTCCACTTATTAATAATGTGTACTGATTAACAAGTCCCATCTAAAAATATGCAGTTTATTTTTCCAAAGAAAAATTTTATGTTTCAGGAAATACTGTTAAATATAATAGAAATACTTATTTTAATACATTTTGGTTATTCAGGATTTCAGCATTGAGTTTAAATCTACTATTCATAGTGTCATTAATAGAGGGCTTTTTCTGGCATTTTAAAAAAACTATAGATTTTCTAAAATGGGAATTGTACATCACTCTGCCATTAAGTGAAAAATAAAACTATAGAAACTACAGAAACAATTCTTATTAATTGCTTTTCTTTGTAATAACAATTCTTTTCAAAGTTTAATTCTTCTGTCCTATGTATTTCTGATGGAGTCCACCAGGGATTTCAGGTAGTTTGTAAAGTAGGATGGCATTTTTTGCAAATTCTCTGCAGTTAAGCTCTTCCTTAGGAATATGCACAGGTCATTCATGAACTGAAACTTTTTTCATCAACAGCTGTAAAAAATTAGTATAAGTAATGCATAATACATGAGTTTTGGTAGACATGGGATAGGCATACCTTCAGTACATCATCTCTTTCAGACTCATTAAACACGTCAGATTAGCATTACAGTCTATTTGCCTGAAAAAAATAAAAGAGAAGGCCTAAATGTTTACAGATCTCAATTACATTTTGTTATGATTTACTGGATACAGATTCAACATTTTTTAATGAGAAACATTCAGAAAATTGAAAAACGTGCTGTTTCAACAAAGCAGACCTTTCCCAATACCTTTCTCAACATGAACAACTGAATACTTCTGCTTGTATTGGAAACCTGTGAAGTGAGTGTCTCATATTTGCGAAGCATGCACACCATTCAGTGGCATATCTTTTTATGCTTGAAGCTTGTGATACTTGTTATTGAGTCCAAAATGGTATTGGTAGGTCAAGGTACCAATCATTATTATGAACTGTAACATTGCATATGCCACTGTTATGTATTTTGTCATTTGGTTTAGATTGAAACCCAAATTTGGAAACTGTTTAGTATTTTTTTTTTTTCTTCATATAATACTTTGAGCTTTGAGACATTTTTTACCATATGCTGCGTATGTTATATAACACATTTACTTTACTTACTTTTTCTTCCTCTGTCTACCATGAGTTGTAGAGGGAAAATGTACTGACTTTTGATGTGCTCTATTCGGAGCTTCTCTAAGGGTGATTCCGTGGTGTTTAATGTTATCTATGATGTCTTAACTCCTCTTCCTTCTTGGTCTTCCCCTTGAATTGTAATCATTGTGTTGTTGTATTCCAAGGCATCCTAGTGAGGTGGCCAAACCATTATTTGTTGCTTTTTAATATGTTCTAGGACTGGTCTTACTCACAATCTTTCTCGGATATCTTTGTTGTTGATTCTATCTTGGCGCGATACTCCGATAGCTTGTTTCAGAGATCTCATTTCCATGTGTTGGCAGGAATATAGATTTTATGAGGTTAACTTTTGTGTTGATTGGGATATGTTTATGTTGCAGCAGTGGCGAGAGTTGTCCTAAAACCTGATTTGCTTTGGTCATTTGATATGTATTTCTCAGTCCATTTTACCATCTTCTGTAAATACACTTCCCAAATACTTAAATTCTTTTTTATGTTTGATGTCAGTATTATACGCCCAAATTTTAATTTCTTCTCTTCGTCTTATATACATAACTTCCATCTTCTCTGTACTTATTTTCATACTATATTCTTTGTATTTGATGTCCAGTTAATTCAGATGGTCCTGTAGTTTTGGCCTCACAAGTCAGTGGTGAATTTTTTGCTACAAAAGTCAAAGAAAATATATATGGATGGACTTAAAATGACCTGGAAATATAACACACTTATGATGCAAAACCAGAAGTTCCCTCACAGTTTCCAAATTTTTGCAAAATGAAATTGTGTTAGAGATGTATAAGATTAAAGATATTTGATAGTTATAAGACTAAAATGTTTGACTAGTTTCAGATAGAGGCTTTAGTTAAGTTAAATATGAATTTATTTCAGTGACAATTCATTTGGAATTTTTTTTCCCAGTGTGGAGAAAATCAAAGTTGTCATTGAAAATGGTGCTGATATTCAGCCTCAAATTGGCATGGGAAAGAGCCCTGTAATAGAATACTGAATGCTAATTTACTTTAATGTACTGAAATATTATACTTGCTCAGTATTTGCATATTTTATTTCCTAGTATAATTTTTTAACATCATATTGCAGAAATATGTCACATAAAATGAATATGAACCATAGCTTTTCCATCTTAACCAAATACATTGAGAGAGCTAGTTAGCTTTTCATTCAATGGAATAATTAGACTTAGGACCAGGAAAATGGGTGTGATAAAAGATATGTTTTCACCTTAATATTTTGTTTTGAATGGTAAGTTGCAGTCAACAAACAGCAGTACACATCTTGCTCAGTTGTAAAAAGAAATTATACATAGTTTTGTTTTTAAAACCAGTAAAATTTCTAAAGATTTGTTAATAGTTTTACCTTTTGTTTTGCTACATACAAGTGTTTTTTAGTATTTAACTGTTGTAAATTATTTTTACTTTTGGGTGAAATCTTGAAGTAATGCTGTTGACAACATGACTAGTAACTCACACCACTTTTTTTCTCACTATTTTCATTACCTTTAATTTTCTTCTCATGAAAACTTGACACTGAAACAATGAATATATATGTATATCTATCTATCTATATATATATATATGTGTGTGTGTATATATGTGTATATATATTAGGTTTTTTTTTGGTTTTTCTATTTACTTTCTTGGAAATAATTTTTCTATTGGAATATTATAATGTTTCTATATCTTAGTATAAAGGTGATAAGTGGTGAGTGAATGCCTGGCATAAAAGCAGAAGAGTATTGATTAAGTTAGCCCTTTTATACTTGGGCATCACAATAGATATATATCAGCTACACCAGGGTAGTCTGAACTATTGCTCATGATGGGCTGGACTGTTGAGGATGGAGGTTGATAAATCAATGGAATAGGACTTTCTTATTGATATTTGAATACCGTTTTGAAATGAATAAACTTGAAATGCACTATTAAAATATCTAAAGATTCATATTACAGTTATTTTCAGTTTCATCAAGCTTGACTTTTAGATTTTGTTCATTAAATTTGAACTAATGTAAAAAAACTTGAATTTATATATGCATTTTATGCAGTACTTTCTCACTTTTCAACTGCATAAATACTTGATATATTTTGTAACAAAAGTATTCTCTAAGCAAAATGTTGTTGTTTTTTTATCTGAATCACAATGCTTTAAACAAAGCATTTCTTTTAAAATAATAAAATAATAATTCATTATGATAAGTTTTCATTTTGATCTGTTGTACTGTAACTGAACTAAGATTATTTTTTTCAATTAAGTGAGACCATGAGGAGAGAAATTATACCAGATATGGTGTCAGATTTTCTGACCTTCCCAGCATCACCATTTGAAAGCTGGGGCCGTAGTCATGGCATCTTAGCTTCTGATAGTTCAAGCACTTCACCATTATTTGGACAAATTAGTCAAGGCAAGTTATATTTTTTAATTAATAATATGTACATCTTTAGTAGAGTAACTGCTACAAAGTACAGTCACTCAAAACCATCAATTTACAGAATTTAATTTTAAAAATGTTGTAAGTATTACTATTTTCTTTAAACATTTTTATGAAACTGTGTAATACAGTATTTTCACAATCTCAGCAGGGGTCATGCAACAAGTGAAGTGGCTTTAAATTTCACTTTCAGAGTTCTAATTTTGCTTTTTATTTTCCCCATGGTGAAATTTGAGTCACCTTCTTTTTCAGCACAGTCGCTATTGAAAGTTTGTGTCAAAACAAAGAAATATAACTATGTTACATTGATAGACATATTTGAATTTATTATCAGTAGATTATAGAAGTGTTATTCATGATTGGGAAATGTGTATCTTTCTTGGCACATGGATTTCTGTATTTTTGATTGAATTGTTTGTCATAGGAGGTAATCATTAATTATGCAAGGTATATACCATAAAGTGGAATCATTTTTAGCTTGTCTATACTCATTAACTTACAGATATAATTGTATTTAAAAGAAGAACTGCCTAAATCAGAAGGTGGCACAGTTTTAATACTTAGTTTTTTGTCAATACATCACATGCATAAAGAAGTTGTTCTTAAAGTAAATCACATCGTGCTTCTGATAGAAGTAGCAGATTGTTCAATTCTGTAAAAATAAATGAATAATAATAAATGAATTTCCAACTATATGAACCCAGACCAGAATCTACAGGAATTAGAAAAACAATTAGTCATAGTTAAGTTAAACAAAAATTATGCAACTTTAAACACTCAAGCCTGCTATCATAAACCAAATATTATTCCAGTAGGCTGTCTATACTCTTTGTTTCCATACTAAAGATAGCATATTTCTGCCCATAATGAGATTCACTCTTCTTCATTTGCTCAGTGTCTCTCCAGCAAATTGGTTATGCATAAACTTTTTAGAAAAATCTGAGTCAAATTCTATCCAGAAGTGAAAGGTCAATGAAAAAAGTAGAGAATCAAAAGCCAAAAAAGTTTTGAATCATATTGACTTCAGTTGGTATATGCAAGATACCAAGGGATTTTGGCACTGCTGAATTTGTAAAGATGCCAAAAAAAAAAGCACTGTATTTATGTGTGGTCATGAAAGTCCGGCTAAGACTACAAATCATACTGCATTCAAAATTTAAGTTAAGAAAATAAAGTGAATTTAGAAAATGGTTTTATATTATTTTGAAGGAATACAGATTATTTTAATGATTCAAATGGCAAAAAATAAAATAATAATTTTCTCAGACTGAAAAAGTTTTCAAATGGAAAAAAACAACAACATACTTAATGCTTAAAATTGCTTGTGTTTGTGTGTTTACCCACACATTTAACTTTCTCACAGTGGTCTTGGTCAATTCAACCAAGATCATGACCTCAGAATGACCATTATACTTTTCATAATATAGCTTTTTAATATGTTTTGTGTGTATTCATGAAATTTTTGCAAGCATTCGGTAAATATTTTAAGTCTTTTGTACACAAAAAATCAGTTTTTAATTAATTATTTTTACCAAAGATTTGTCTATGAATAAATGGAGTAAAAGTGTTGACTGTTCTGAGTACAAATAATTTTAATCTTAAAAAATTAAAAAAAAAATTAAATTTGCCAAATTTCATTTGAATAACCTCTAACACTTCCTATATATATATCAAAAATTTTTTTTCAGTAAAACTTTATATTTTATTTGTTATTTTCTCTACCCTAACTGTATACACATTCAGTTAATATGACCAACCTCATAATCGCCATAAAAACATACAAAATAAATCTAAATTACTTTTTTCTCTTTCAAGGATGATTACAAATTGGAACAGGAAACTACAGTTGTTTCTTCTTAGGTTTTATTGTTTTACTGCCCTTTGAACAGTGTTTAACTAATACTCCTGCCACACAGGTTGTAAATCACTCTGTGAATGTGTAGCTCCTGTTACTGTATTGAATCACAAGCTTTCCTCGTGAAGAAGTTTTATTTTTATTATGATTATTTTTCATTACTTTACCTAATAAGTTTCTCATTTTTATATTTTAGTTACTTTTACAATAATATAAAAAACACATGAAAAACAAAAAATATTGTGCTTATATGGGTCTTCGTTTTTTACTGTCGATTGCTGATGAAACTTAAGCCTACTTGTTTATACTAATGGTACTATTACTACACTAAATGATTTTTTTTATTTAATTTAGTACTACACTTAATAACACAGAATATAACATGTATGAAGCAAACAATGTCTTATAACTATCATAATTTTTCTGGCTTTCTAAATATGCGATAAAGAGCCTTTAAAAATTCAGCTAAGCTTATTGATGTGATTCTCATGAGAACAAATTTGAAACTGGACCACGAAATAGACAGTTCTTTGTACAGTAAACAGTGTAATATAATACATCATTTGATAGATTAAAACACATTTGTACAGAAATGTGAAGTCTTCTTGTTGGTCTCTGGGTGGAGAAGAGACTTATCCCTGTTTTGGGGTGTCTTGACCCTTGCCTTAGTCTGCTTTCTTAGCTGTTGGAACAAAAAGTTTAGAAATAAGTATCTGAAAAAAAACTATGATTTTGTTCTTTCTAGGATAATGTTGGAGTTTATCTACATTCACTTTCAAAAATGAGTGTAGATAATTCTGAGCCTAAATTTTTTTTTATTCTATATAACAGGGAATGATAAACATAAGTTCATTGGCAAGTGAGGATTTCAGTTGAACAAAGAAAACATCCATTTACGTTTTTTTGATGAGCATGTGTGTGTGTTCAAAGGTGAAATTATACTCCCATTGATTTATCAGCTAAATTAGCTATGATGCAGTTAACAACTTTGGTATTGCATTGAAGTTTTCAAAAATATGTTATCCTTAGAACAGTTCTCACTTTCATAGATCAGTGAGTTGTGACACAACTGTTTTAATAAAATCTCATAAAGTTTGTGCAGATTGAGAAACATGGAATTGTTACTTCTTATTTTCTATGTATCTGAATAAACTTTCAACTTGGTATGCCCAAGAATTAGTGCTGGCTACATGTGAACTCCAATGACATTAACTGCTTGATATTCAAGTGATGTTATTTTATCATATCAGTGTATATCTGCCTTATCTAAAGACCTTACTTTTTCAATCCAATTTATAAACCTGACTTTGTTAATTCCATTGGAAATGTTGTATCATAACTTAAAATTGCTAGTTTGCACTACAAATAACTGATCAGACCCATGAATTTCAAGCTGCTATTATAAAAAAAATTCTCTCTCTCTCTACTTTCTACAACTACAATGCATGTAGACCATCTTTTCCTTTTAAGTCTGAAGTACTTTCTGTACTGAAAGAATTCTCAAAAAACAAAAATATCACTTGCCTTGTTAAAGAAAATGGAATTATTCTGGACAAAGCTATCTTTAAAAAATAAGGATAAACATTCTAAATGACAATACTAAACTTAAAATACTGAACAAGGATCATTTATCTGTCATGATCCAGCACTAAGAAATGATACAAAGAATTTTGAGAGATATAAAAATGTAAAAAGATGACTGCAGATAGTGTTTACATGTTATGTCCAACAGGATCCTGGCCTGGCATTTTATATGAACTACCAAAAGGTCATAAAGGAGATGCCCTCTATGATATATTCCCTCCACCATTGATGCCCAACTATCATCTCACTAAAGTTCTAGTCCTTTTTTTATGACCTTTTGCAACTAACAACTTCACAATGCCTGACTCCTTCAAAGTCAACTAGTGCTATTTTATTAAAAGCTAATAACTTTCATCTTATGGAACTATGAGTACCATACTAAATTCAGAAACAATTTGGGAAATTCACAAACACTAATAATTTCATTCAGGGTGTGTTAAACTCAACCCAAAATCAAAATTTGCAATTCAAAACCAATTTATGTATAAAATTGAATAACATATTTGTGGAATAAATTTGAACTACAAAGTTTTTTGTTTTTTAATGTGTGGAAGAACAATTTAAAAGTCCTTATTTTCTATAGTTGTTTGATGCTGTTTTGCTCATAAAGGAAGATGCACTCATCTGGGTGTGTCAGAGGTAAAGAACATGGGCTGTTAACTTGATTAATTGATATAATTGATTACTTACGAACATTGATTAGTGTCTCACAATTAATGAGTAATTGAAATTGTTTAAATCGAATGTTATTGTAAAAATATTAAATGTATCAAAATTAAAGTTTTGGATCATTCCAACTGTCCAAATATTCAAAATATTGTCATTAGAGTTAGGCATTTAATGGAATTTCATAACAGATCAATTGCAATCTCTTGAACAGTTACATTCAACTAAATGATTATTCTCACATAATTAATCCTCTAAAATCAGGTAGTTTCAAAGAATTCATGTCATGACCTTTAATAGTTACATTCAAATTTAATTAAACAACTTGACATCAAAATCTAGTTTATAATTCAAATTTTAATACTATACAAGTTTTATTTTTTTAATTTAAAAAAGGAAGTATTTAGATAAATTGACAATCTTCACTTTTGTTTTCATGTGACACTTCTTTACTCTGAATTGCCTATTTTATGTTTTCTTTCCACCCCTGTATGATCTAAGTTTCCCATGGATTACACACTTATAGTATAGATATCCTGGAGCTAAAATGTCAATGTTTAGCCTCTATGCTTCTTGCTTTACTGAGATATAGTGCAATATAGTGAAACCCACATGCCATCCCCTTCTAGAACATCCCATCTTTCAGAAGATGTCAGTAATTCTCTTTGACATTTAGTATTAGATTACTTCTGACCAATAGAAAGAGAAGGTTCCAATTTGTTGACTATAACAAGGATAAGAGTCATTTAAATGACAGGTTTTGAAAAATTTGCTGTCAGTTTCATTGTTTGCCAGTGTTGGAACTCTGCTTGACCAAGAATTATTTAACTCATTTATAGTTTAGTTAGAAAGCCAGTTAAATAATAGTAGTTTTAGGACATTCTAGTTTTTTGTGCATGGCAATACTTTGTATTTTAAACTGTGTATTTTAATTTTAAAAATTGTTTATGAGAAAATTAAAAAATAGGCAGAGTATGCAATGTATCTTCTTTCTTACAAATATAAAAAGACAAGATTTTAGATGTAATTATTAAATTTATTGTTTTTTATTTGTATATCTTATTTCTTATTATAAATATAAATAAAATGGAAGAATTAGAAACTTATTTGGTAAGATAAGAAAAATGAAGCCCCCCAGTGGCACAGAGGTATGTCTGCTGACTTACAATGCTAGAATTCGGGTTTCGATATCCGTGGTGGGCAGAGCACAGATAGCCCATTGTGTAGCTTTGTGCTTAATTGCAAACAAACAAACAAGAAAAATGAAATGAAATAAATTATATAATTTTTTCTTCATACTCATACAAAGCTGTTCTGTGTAATAAATAGCTTTTGTCGTACTCTGAGAGGGCCTAAATGCAACTTTAAAGAAATAAAACTAAATGAAAATAATATAAGCTTTTGCTGTTAGAATAAACAATAATCTAAATTTTACAAAGACAAGTATGGATTGATATATATGTAACTTAGCTAGCTATAGTAATATAGAAAGATTTAATGCTACAAAAAGTATTGAAACAAGAAAGCCAAAAATACAAAAACTGAGTTACTTAAAATTTAAAAAAATTATCCCTACCTTGGCAAATCAATGTAATTATATTATTCTAAGCCAAAGTAGAAATAACATTTTTTAAATTTTAAGCTACTCAGTTCTGTAGATTTGACTTTCTTGTTTCAAACTTTCTATATTACTATAGCTCGCTAGGTTACACACACACACACACACACACACACATATATATATATATATATATATATATATATATATATATTATTATATATGACTCCTTACTTTTATTAAATTAAAAATTAAAATATATTATTCTACGAACCTATTACGTTATTTTACTTACTCATAC